TTGAATATTATATTTTATGTACTATAGAAAGAAATTAAATATATTAGTAAATTTTGAAAGAAGAGATAAATATACAAATGATTTAAAGATTTTTAATAAGGCACTATGTAGCATTTATAGTTAACAACAAAACATTGAAATCAGACGATAGCATTTGGGAAGGTTTGTCTCGTTAGTATATTTTATGTAGTATCGATAGGAAGATACAATGAGAGATTTATACTTTAAATCGAAAAGTATTAAATTAATACAACTAGATTTTGATATGATCTACTATACAAGTGCCTGACCTTCAAAAAACAAAAAGAAAAACAACTTCTTTTCTATTTATCATATCTATCAATGATCACAATGAAGGTTGATCAATAGCAACTATCAGTAAGATAATATATCATTACCTTGGCCTCGAAAATCTAAACCACACCCATAAACTGACAATAGACTGATGACAAGATGATAGACAATCATATTACATTTTCATAGTTGATTAGATGAACGTGTTGATATACTTTATACCCATATACATTATAGACATATATCTAATATTTTTCGAACATCGAACAATTATTAAATTTATGTTTTATCAAGGAAAACGATTATATAGAATGTTAAAAAAAATAATTCAATAAAGAAAAATTTGAATACATATTTTCATTAAATAAATATTCATATTATTATTATTATTGATAAAGAAGTATATGCATAGTTCATATTCATAAGAGAAATATTGTCAAAAATTGTTTAGAAGTCGATACAACTAACTTTAACGAAAAACTATAACATATTTCGAATTATAAAAAAAAAAAAACAAAATATATTTATTTTCATAGCCAAGAATAAATGACATCTAATTTTTTTTTTTCGAGATACTTCTTCGCCCTAATGTCATTTAGTTTTATACTTATATGACAGATACATGTCTTGTTACTCAATGTATTTTGTAAGTTATATCTATTAACTTATGAAAGGTTACAGTTGGTATTCCTTTAGCTGGTGTTCCACCGTATATGCAAAATCAACTTTGTAACTGAGATTTTCTCAAAGGAACAGCACTTTTCTGGTTTTTCTCGGTAATACAGCACTGTGTGTGGGTGAAGGTAGAGGATTGAAACGGAAAAGTGCTTTTCCATTGAGAAAATCTCAGTTGCAAAGTTGATTTTGCATATACGGGGGAACGCCAGCTAAAGGAATATCTTTTGGTTGTAATGGCTTCTGTTTTTTTAAAATATATGTCTTCATTTATTTTAATAACAATATTCTAATGTCAATGCACTTTGAAACCTTTAGCTTCGAAGTAAAAAAAAAGAAAAAAATCAACGACATAACATAAATATTAATTAGATACTCAATAATTACGTTTTCAAATTTTGTAAAAGAAAATATAATCGAGAAAATTATATGAATAAGATTTTTAATTTTTTTGAAATCTCTAAAAAAAAACATATAGAATCTATATATTTATATGATAGATGTCATAAGATATCAATTATTAGTTTGTTGATAGATTTATCAACACATAATTTTGGTAGTTAAATCAACCAATCAGAGAAATGTCAAAAGCATCAACAACATCTACCATCTATACGACAATCTACTTAATTGTCTTTATTGAATATTAATAGTATATACCATAGCGACTTTTATTTTTGTTTATATTTTAAAAAAAATATATACATATATGTATGATTTGTTTATCTAATATGACTTTTTTTTTTTTTTTTTGAGATTTGTTTTAATAACAATGATTGATGGTATTCAACCATTGTTATCAACGTCATCTAATCGATGATATATATATATATTAAAATATCATTGAATTAATGTCGAAAGCATATAATTTCGATTGGCAAATTGAAGTACCAGCTCCCTTACTTAAAGGCGATATTTTTGATCGTTGGGATGAAGAAAATAGTTCATTAGAACAAAATTGTTTATTTCGTGTTGATAGTTATGGATTTTTTATTTATTGGCAAAGTGAAGGACGTGATGGACAAGTTATTGAATTATCACAAGTTAGTGATATACGACCAGGCAAAGGTATTTTTAAATATCTATGAATATAAAATTACGATTTTGATCTTTATAATTATTTTTGTTTTTAAGCTCCAACTGATCCAAAAATCGCTGCTGATCTTATGTCTTCTTCACTTGTACATGGTCGAGGTAATATTGATGAACGAACAGTTACTATATGTAGTGGAACTGATTTTGTACAAATAAGTTATACGAATATAACAGCAGATAAACCAACAATAGCAAAAGTAGAATGAACATATTTTAAATAGTTTATTTTATTTTTTTTTGTGCTTATTTTCTAGCTGTGGATTGAAGGATTAAGAAAAATTACACATAATCATAAAGCTAATAATATATGTCCAACAACAATATTACGAAAACAGTAATGATTTTATTTATTTAATTAGATTTTGTTAACATTGTTTGTTTGTTTTTTTAGTTGGATGAAATTATCTTTTATGTTAACTGTTAATAAGAAAATTCATGTTCGAAGGTAAATGACAGATTATTTGTTTTTTTTTTTTGGTATTTTATCTAGTTGATTAATTTTAGTATTAGTAAAACATTTGCATCAGGTAGAACTGAAAAACGTGTATTTGAAATTCTTAAAGAACTTGGTTTACCAAGTGGAAAAGTAAAATTTTCTTTTTATAATCGTGTTTTTTGTTTTTTGTTTTCATTTCTTTTTTTTTAATTATAGAATGATGAAGTTGATCCAGCTGATTTTACATTTGAAAAATTTTGTGATTTATATCATAAAATTTGTCCACGTACTGATATAGCTGAATTATATGAACAATTATCAGGTGGTAAAGATTATATAACAACAAAACAATTTGTTGATTGGCTTAATGAAACTCAACGTGATCCACGTTTAAATGAAATATTATTTCCATTTTATGATACAAAAAATGCATTACGTATTATTGATCGATATGAATTACGTGCTAATTATAGAGATCGTGGTCATTTATCATGTGATGGTTTAACACGATATTTAATGTCCGATGAAAATGCACCTGTTTTTCTTGATCGTTTAGAAGTTTATCATGATATGGATCAACCATTATGTCATTATTTAATTAATTCATCACATAATACATATTTACAAGGACGACAATTTGGTGGTCGTTCATCAGTTGAAATGTATAGACAAGTATTATTAGCTGGTTGTCGTTGTATTGAATTAGATTGTTGGGATGGAAAAAATGATACAGAACCAATAATAACACATGGAAAAGCAATGTGTTCAGATATTAATTTTAAAGAAGTTATTTATGCTATAAGAGATACAGCATTTGTTACAAGTGATTATCCGGTTATACTTTCATTTGAAAATCATTGTTCGAAACCACAACAATTTAAATTAGCTAAATATTGTGAAGAAATACTTGGTGATCTGTTATTAACAAAACCATTAGATAGTCATCAAGTAAGTGTAGATTTAATTGTTTTGTTTTTGTTGATAACTCATAGTTTTTTTAGCTTGAACCTGGTGTGTCTTTACCATCACCGAATTTATTAAAGCGTAAAATTCTTATTAAAAATAAACGATTGAAACCAGAGATTGAAA